AATATATGATTCACTACTATCCATTTTATTTACTTAAGTGATCATGTTTCATCTTATAGTAATGCCAGTGTAAATCCAAATATTGTGGAAGTGGAAAAATGTTATACTTCCTGTAATATTCCACATGGCAAGTTAGAAATAAAAAAACAATTTTGTGATTCTCAAGAGGAATCGATATTTGAACTTTTGCTGAAGCTTAAGTTGCAGTTGTTATTGTTAACAAATAGGCAGTGTAGGTAGAATTGACCCATTATTATATATTTTATTTGCTGACTAACATACTAAAGTAACATTTAATCTATTTGCATGCATAGCCTATAGGCTAGCACCCTCCAAAATCCTGTTCTTCAGTGTAACAACCTCTGGCTAATACTGACTACCTCCTGTCAAGATCAGCTGTTTATACCATTTTTGTCTGCAGGAAGGTTCTCATGTAGAAGATGCTTCTCATTGTTGAGCCATAAGAATTTGCAAAATGCTTGGTAGCTTGTCTCCCTCCTGTGATGCTGATGAATCATTTTCTTTTCAGGACCGTGCAAGCAGATTTGTGTGTGGCCAATCTGGCTGTAATGTTGAATGGCCTTACGAGGAGGTTTGTAAAATGGCTCTATTGACCCCTGAAGAAATGAGGGAATTCGAAATTAAACTGGCCTCCAATGCAGCCAGCTGCTACTTATCTATCAAATCAGTAAGTCTCTCATTAAAACTATAGTACTTAATAGCTGTAGACTACTTGGAAACTAGCCTAAATTTGCTATTTTGAATTTCATCTGAATGACAAGGGGCTGCGGAGGTGTCATGTCATGAAGAAAGTTGAATTACCGCTTCAAAATTGTATGCCAGCCCCAACTAGTGTAATTCACAGGCATGGGACAAACTTAGGGTCACTGACCTCGACTTTTGAAATTATTGCCAAATACACTGAACCAAATTATAAACGCAACACTTTTGTGTTTGCCTCTATTTTTCTGATTAGATGCTGATTAGACAGCATCTTGATATGCCACACATATACCAGCATATTGCACAGGTGTGCCGTAGGCTGGCCACAATAAAAGGCCACTTGTAGTGATGTATTATTTTAAGCATTTTTGATAATACAAGCAGCAGTCAGATTAGGTGTCAGGTCATCATTATATTAATCCATTTTTACATTTTTGCTTTCTGTACACACAAATTCTGGGACGAAAATGAGAGCCATCACTTTCCCTAGGCACCATTAGGCTGGTACAAACTGTACAAATATTAGTAGATTTTTTTCATTTCATTGATGGATTAACTTGTCTCAATCTGATGAATCAAACTGGGGGTTGCTTGGTGGCAAAGTCCCAGGATAGGATACTTTTTGTTGCCAGTCCTCCCCAGTCAAGTTTCAGAAAGACATACAGTACCTTTGTTTCCACCTCAAACATATATATGCTGTCTGTTTTTGCACTCTTTACAGCTTTAACAGCTTTAGTAATGCACGGATAAGTTTTCCCCACATGACACCTCCTGGGCTCCATAGAATGTTACTAATATAGTGAAAATTTAAAAATCTCTCTCTGTTTAACTCTTCTTTCAACACCTACTACATCACAGTGTCCTGGATGCAGATCTTCAGTCATGAGAAAGAATGAATCTAATCTGAGGGTCCGCTGCACAGTGTGCACAACCAACAAAGGACGGACCTTTGAGTTCTGCTGGCAGTGCCTGAAGGAGTGGAAGGGTCCAGCTCCACGTTCAGACCGCTGTGACAATCATGGCTGCTGCAATGAGGATCTAAAACTATTGAGAGAATGTTCAGATATAAGCTTTGAATACTTTGATTCTGTGAAGGGGATCAAGGGATGTCCCTCAATCCGATCCTGCCCAACATGTGGGATACTGGTGGCGCACGACGGAACAAAGTGTAAAAATGTTGTCTGTTCCCGATGTAAGGTGGAGTTCTGTTTTGTGTGCCTGAAGCTCACTACAGAGTGTCGGAAAATAAATCCGGAATATTTCACACACTGCTCCAGTGGTGTTGCACCTAGACAGACATCCATACCGGTGTGGCAAAAAAAATAATGTGAACAGCACCAACCTGTATATGCTTATGCTTTTTTATGTAAAAATGACTTGCATGTATACGTGTGCCTTTGCTGGTGTTAGGTATTTTTAGTCAGATAGACATTGGTTAGACACTTCATGTATTAGAAATGTTTAGTGTAGACAGGATGTCTAGCTCAGGCTGTTAAATGCTTAGTCATTCCCATGGGGTACTCCAGGTTGTTTATGTTCAAGGATAACTAGATAGAAAGTTGATTACTGTTAGGAGACAGAATGTTTACTATTATTATTATGACGTGTTTAATCATAATCGTAATCATAATATTTTCTTATGCTTAATGTCATGACACGTCACTAGGTGTCATGTCAGAATGTCTTAGATACACACCACACAATCAACAGACAATCACACATTGATTTTCTTCATGCTTTGACTAATGCTATGGTCAGCTGCAAAGCTGGCACCGGAGACGTCATGGTTTGGCGTCCCTGAGTAGTATGGGAGGCCTGTTATGGTTCGAGGCTTTTCATCTTTCAGCTGCCTGTGTGCATGTTGGAAGTGCAAAGACTCCTGAGCGTGTAATGTTAATTTTACCTGTGTTCATTGAATAAATCAGCACTGTTTTGAAGTTACTTGGACTGCTTCGTCTCTCAGAGTTAGCGTGGTGAAAAGAACTGGGTCCCAACACTGGATTTTCCAATATTTGTGGTAAAATCTTATTTCTTTAAACAGCTGACAAATATAAACATTTTTCTTGTGCGAAAATTGCTGCCAAACAATCATATAGAGTATGTGCCTAAATTATAAGGATG